CTTCCAGTTCTCAGCGTCTTTGATGCCATCACGGGAAAAGACTGCAGAGGTTCTTACTCAATCGACAGAAAACACCCGACATGTGAAGCCCCCCCCCCACTCCACTGCCCCCCCCCCTCAAAGTGCCTCTATGACATCACAGGTTTCTAACTGACAGAGCAGATGTTCGTTTTCTGTCCAGTAAAAAAAAAACCAAAAAAAACCCATTTTTGTTCTCGGTTTTTCAGTTGATCGTCTTGATTTTGATTTGATTTGACGTCACGGCTGAAACCACGTCGTCAGACAAAGACCCGGTCCCTCAGAGACACAGTCCCTCAGAGACACGGTCCCTCAGAGACACGGAGGACGAGGACTCGTCTGAAGACTCCCACATAAACCGAGCAAATCAACCTAACTAAGTCAGCGGTACAAAACCTGTGGCTCCTGAGCCACGTGTGGCTCTTCAGTCCTTTTTTTTTTAAGGCTAAAATTAGTTTTAATGTCAAACTAATGGAATGAAACTGACATGACAGAAAGTGTGAGTATGACAGTAAACCATGTGGGAGGTGTGGATTCATTCGTCTTCTTTCCACTAACGATGACGTGCACGCGTAGCTGATTTTTTTTTTTAAAAAAACCTCAGTTGAACACATTTCCACCGAGGGGCAGTGCTGAGGCGTGTTACTGTAATTGTTGAGTGATAACGGGTCGTGGTTGACTCGAGGTCAGAGCTGTGATGGTGCAGACGTCGTGTTGTGTAAATACCTCCACCCCCTCCTCACTGCTGTGCTGAGTGTGAGACGTTTATCGGTGCAACTCTGTGGTCACCTGCAGAAAAAACAGCGCTGATGTTTGGAGAACCCACAGAAAAAGAAACTTCACACAGAGTTTTTTTTTTAACCATCTCTTGAAATGAAATGTTTGAGCTTTTGAAGCAAATACTTGAAATGTATACTGTGTATATTCTCATGGGTATTCTTAAAGATATATTCTTAAAGATATTGTCTGCAGTATTTAGTTTTATGTATTTTTTATGTTTACTCACGGAGAGCATGTAGCTCAGCCTCCTGCCCTGCAGGTGGTGCTGTGAATGCAGCTGAAAGCCCTGCTGATGAAACACAAACACAGTTAGTTTGACAGCACTGCTAAAGTGAGTTCCGCTGCTCTGTGGAGCTGTACACCCCCTCTAGTGGTCAGCCAAGCTAAGCTAGTCCAGCTTACAACCACAACGTAGCTTCTTTGCAGAATACTGCCCCCTACTGGAGCAGTTTGAGGGGTGAGTAGAAAAATCAGCAAAAAACAAGAGCCTAAACCTGAACATAACGACGGTGATAGTTGACAGTTGTTGTTGTCGGTTCAAACGAGGCGGTCATGTGACTCCCGTGTGCGCTCTCTCGTATCTGTCGCCACACGCATCGGCAGCAAATGTTTCTCATTCTTTCGTCGTTACTCATCCACCTCGCCGTCGTCACCGCTCGGCGTCGCCACATGTTTCACTTCTACATTTGTGAACGCACAGCACTTCCTCCTGCGTGTCTCAACCCCTGGATCTCACGTTCTTCTACGGCCTCTGCCTCCGACACTTTGTTTTACATTCCCAGACGCGTGCATTCCTTCCTTCTGTCAGCTGATTATTTTAGCAACCCTCTGCACAGACAGACACAGTCACAGACACAGTCACAGACACAGTCACAGACACGGTGCAGCCTCATCTCTTCTCTGCTTCGTCCGTCTACTCTGGTCCTTCACCTAATAAATTCACGAGGCTTGACAGTATTTAAATATTAAGATAAAGTCTTCCTTCCACTGACCTCTTCTCCCCGAGAGGTCGCTGAGACACGGGCAGGATTAGGTAAACAAACTGCGCTCAAACCCACAGAGCGGCTCATTTGAAAGTCAAAAAGTCTGGGAGTCGTCGTGAGAGAGAGAGATAAAAGTCGGAGCGAAAAGGAACAAGGAAAAGAAAAGTCCCAGGATCTGGCCGTCGAAGGCCGACAGAGACACAGTTGGAGAGTCTGGTCTGCACCGTGTTGTTGAAGGAAGGTGTTCGAGGCCAGGGACGAGCAAGGGGTCACGGGGTCGGATGCAGAGCAGTGATTTTTAACTTCCTTCAGATTTGTTACTGTCATGAAAACTGACGGAATCATCTGGTTTGAACTGGTCTCAACCACAACATCCTATGTCTGTGTGTGTGTGTGTGTGTGAGAAAGTACATCCTGCCCAGTGATCCAGTTTCACAGCCGGTGCCGTCCACACCTTGAAGTTCCACAGATCCCCGTGTCATCAACTTCTCACAGAGTTCACAGAATCCAAAGCCTTAAAGCTCACAAATGTCACTGTGTCTTTGTGTGTTTATGATAATGAATCATCTGTAAAGGATACATTATCACCACAACACAACAGCGCCCTCTGACGGAGAACAACAACACTGCAATACAGGTTTGACTGACATTGACATGGTTTTCATTAATAATAAGAGCTGAATAATATATGGATTTGATAAAAAAAAGAAAAAGAATCGTAACATTTCTAACCTAATTCTAATTGGTTTGTGATGGACCACTAGAGGTGTATGGTGGTGTTCTCATTAACAGGCACACCTGCGATCACCTCTGTAGTTTGAATTACACATGCAAACAGCACAGAGAAGAAAAACAAAAAACAAATTAGTCATCGTCTTACAGTGAGGAGCGAGCAATGACTACTGCCACCACGTGGTCACCAGGTGTAAATCATAGAAATTAGAACGTAATTCCTGGAAACAGCTCGCAGAGGTTGTAATGTAAGTTAAACACATCCAATTAAAATGTAGTTGTGACGTCAACACGTGTCAGAGGTGTACAGCTACTCACTTCCGTTTACTGAGGGCTCGACCGCCCCCGTGTGGCTTCTCCACAGGTTGACACTTCTTGATACTACTTTCAAAGCGAGTTCTCATAGAAAACATGTTACTGAGAGAGAGAGAGAGAGAGAGAGAGAGAGAGGCTCAGTCAAACTGCACCTGAAGGAACTTCTGCCAACGTAAATGAAGCACAACTGTGCTCTTCTTCGCCCTCTACTGGTTGACACGGTGTAAAAACCAACAGATGGACCAAAGAGAAAGTTTTTTTTAAACATTGTTTTAATACTTTTCTTAAAAAAATGTACTCTGAACAAGATGAATCTATTGACATCAATGCCTCACTCACCAACACACCGACAGGTTGTCCTGGGTAGAACCATGAGGAAAAAAAAAAGAAAAAAAAAAGTCCAAACAAGCAAAGACAAAATGTGAAAGACGAAATGACTGAAACATGAAAAAAGAGAAAGATCTGATTATAGAATTAAAAAACCCCAAAACACTCAGACGTCTGGGCCAAACTACACGAGCCGCTTCCACAAAACACTGACACGAGACGTCCTGTAGAGGGACAACGAAAAAAGTTTAGAAACAAAAATGTTGCGATGGTTGAGAGAAATGTACAGGAGTAAAAGAAAACTAGAGTAAAACGTGAGTGCAGATTGATAAGAATTAAACTATTACAGAGCAAAATGCTGCATAAAGTGAGCCTTAAAAGAGGGCGGGGGGGAATTAAATAGCAATAAAAATGTAGCCTTTAATATAAAGTGAAAAGAAATTTGTTTTTTTTTTTGTGTTTTGTTTTTAACATTTTTTTCTTTCAAAACGTGAATAAACGTTTCCACACTCGATAGATTGGTTTTGGCATGAAGTCAAAAAAAAAAAAAAAAAAAAAAAAAAAGAACGAGGGAGATAAGGTGAGAGAAACCGAAGAAGACGAGACGAAAAACAATCCTCTCAACAATCATCATAAAAGTTTTTTTTTTCTTCTTTACAGTAAATTCTACAAAATCCAAACCAGAGCTCAGAGATGAACACACAGACGAGCGCCGCTCCCCGCAATCCAAACCTTTCTCCTGATCTTTTTCAACCACTTTCCTCATATATAATATATATATATATAGATTTTTTTTCATGTCTTAATTTATTTATATATAATATGTATAACTTCAGGGCGTGAACGTTTGTTTACAGGTCAGGTGGCTAAGGCAAAGGTCAAACCCTGGAACAAACTTCCTTCCTGCCGACGCTGCAGTTTCATCACTTCATGACGGAGACGTGAAGGGAGGAAGGACGATTTAGAAAAGAGTGTGTGTGTGTGTGTGTGTAAGGTCGCAGCTGGGACAAGGGCTGTTTATTGTTTTCCTCCGGGTCCTGAGTAAACAACAACTGACCAACGTGACCTTCGCAATTAAAATTTAACAAAGAGGCGGCGAGAAAAGAAAGTCATCGGTCGTCTACGTTTGGTCGCCTGATCCGTGTCCTTCTTCTACAGACATCGTTTTTCTCAGTTTGAACTAAAATCAAATCGGAGAAATTTTTAAATTTTAAGTCGCCTCCTCCCGTTTTTGTGCCATCCTTGTTTTCCACCTGCCCCCCCCCCTCAAGTCAAGTCAAAGATACAGAAACTTCCTGTTACCGTCAGTTTCACTCACAGCCCCCCTTCGCCCCCCCCCACAGTCTGAATCACAAAGATGAGCTCGAGGTTTCACCAACTCAGAGCACAGGACAGAAACCACGCAGAGTGTGTGTGTGTGTGTGTGTGTGTGCATTCATACGAGCAGCGACCGTGTACATCAGAGCTTTGTGATCTAAACGCATTTCGTATATATTTTCTTTTGTATTTCCGTAGGTCCGTTTCTCACTTCCCATAATCCTCCTGTCCCTCGTCTAAAACAGATTCTCTTCAAAAATGGCCATCAGGTCACTCTGGAAGTTGATGTCGATGGTGTCCTCCTGGGGAACACATTCAAAAATTGAAAGGTTAAAGGTCGGCGTTTTGAAAAAACAAACAAACAAAAACAGGTACATTTTCTGTTCGTTTCTTACCGCCTCTCTCCAGCGCCTCTCCTGCTCTCGACGACGTGCCATCTCCCTCTGCTGGTCGAGGGCATTCTGTGCAGCTGAAGATGATGGGGGCGGGGCTTGGGGTTGTGTGGGTGGAGCCTGTGGGGAGTGAGTGGGCGGTGTCGTGGCCGGAGGTGTGGGTGTCAGCGGCGACTGCTGCTCCTGGCGTCGGCGGCTGTCGTCCTGCACGCGTCGGCTCTGCTCCACGGTGTCCTCGTCATCTCGACTACGAGAAAATGGCCAAAGAAAAAAAAAAAATCAGACGTGCTTCTACTGCAGATACTAAAATACGAACCCTGACGACGTCATCGCTGCGTCTCCTCGTCCCTCCACCCACCGAAGCTTTTCCTGCTTTTTGCTGGCCTGCTCCGCCTGTGCTTTCAGTTGTCTCTCTCTCTCCTCCTTCTCCCTCGCCGCCCGTCTGAACTGTTCAAAGCTGTCACTGGACGAGCGGACGGACGAGGACAACGTTGACTGGGACTTCTGAGCCAGGCTGGCCCAGGAGCCCATGATCTTGAACTTCACGTCCTGGGAGAAGAGACAAACGTCCAAATTAGAAAAAAAAAAATCAAAATAAAATCAAGGGCTGCAGCTTTTTAAATAACACACACACAGACACACACACACACCTGGGGCTTCTTAGAAGAGACGGGAGTTTTTGGCTCTTGTTTGATTTTGTTGTCTTGTTGGGAGAAGAGTGGTCCCGGGGAGTCTCGCTGTCGAGACACAGAGCGAGAGAGAGGACCGTCCAGAGACTTTCCATCTAATCCTGGTGGAGAGACAACATCAACACGATCACTTCAGACCAGGGACCTTCTGAATATTCAGCCGCTGAAAATCTTTGGCCGGAAATGGCCCAAAGGTGCAGCCTTTTTTAATCACCAAAACACCACCGCCGAAACAGGATGTTGTGATGGCGCGAGCAAAAACTGCGACGGTAAAACTGCGGTGAGATCAATTCAGATCAGCGACTTGATCCACATCATAAAGATCACGACTTGGAGGCGGGACTAAAGCAGCGCAGGAGAGCAGACGTCTTTGTTCTGGTCCTGCTGTGTCCTTCAGCAGTGAGTACAGTACAGAGTACAGACTGTAGTACAAAGTACATGTTGAGTATACGAGGGTTTTAGACTCACTGTGTTTGTTGTCTGGTTTGTGTGTATCGTGACGTATGGTGGGACTGAAGGGCGACAGGGGCAGAACTGGAGAATGGGGGGGTTTCTCCTCCTTCACTGCCACGAGGCTGGGCCTCTGATCCTGCAGAGAAACCAGTCAAACTCTGACCAACACTCAGGGACACGTCTGGGGTTTTGTTTTGTTTTTAAAAATGAGACTCACGTGTTTCTTGATGGGTGGCGGCGACTGCTGTCCCACCGAGTGGAACTGAGGCATCTGAGGAGAGTGCATCATCAGGGGGGAGGGGCTGTCCCGCAACATACCTGACATGATAGATGAGAGTTCATAATTATATAAAAAAAGTTCATGTCAAACGGATTTTTCAGAACATGGAGTGACAAAAAATACCAGACTGTAACTTTAAGGTTTCTTCAGACTTTTTAAAAAGAAAACATTTGTGATAAAAGGTTTTTCAACGCCCTGATTTTGAATTAGATGATTAATTCCTATTAAATGAGGTCAAAATCAAAACTTTGAATTATCACGTGACAAACCCCAGGCCCGTGGGCCGACTGCAGCCCGCCCATCTCGTGCAGCCGTCCCCTCCTCTCACCTGTCGAAAAAAGTTCTGTTTTGTTCGGCGGCGACGGCTGACGTTGATGCTGCTGCGGCGGCGGCGGCGGCGGCACGACCGGCACCTTCTGCTGCTGCGGCGTTGATGTGTGCATGAGCGGGAATGGCTGCTGCAAGAGGGGGGGGGCTGTGCTGTGTCTCTGCAACAGCGCTGGGGCGGGCGTCAACATGGTCTGTGTGTGCAGCGACGACAGAATCTGCACAGGCGAGTGCGTGTGCGTGTGCAGCGGCTGGTTCTGCGTGGTGAGTCGAGGGTGGAGCGACTGCAGGAACGTCTGCACCTGGCTGAGGGGAGGGGTCTCGGGGTTGGTGGGCGTCGGCTCCTCGTCGTCCTCCAGCAGGGCTTGAGGAGGTTGTGCCGAAAGGGTCCCCAAGATGCCGTGCGACGGGGGCGAGGGAACACGGGGGCGAGGGACGGGCTGGGAGAGGGCGAGCGGGAGCGAGGGCTGCAGCTGCGGGGAGGAGGTTGGAGGTAAAGTGGGGAGCGAGGGGGGAGGAGGCTGCGAGACTTTGGGAGGAAGAGGCGCCGCACGATGGCTGGGTCTGGATGGTTGCTGTGCAAGAGCGTTGTGGAGCGCTGCGAAGAAGACAGAGCAGAGAATGATGGGAAAATAAGTTGAGGACAAAAGAGTGTTTGATAAATACGTCTTCAAAACATGTACCCGGTGAAGGCATGATGGGATGTTGGTTGAGGAAAGGGTGTGTCTCAGTGGGCGGCTGACTGACGGGGGGGTTGGTGTTCAGGACAGCGGCGGCGACGTGGACCCCAGCGGCAGTGGTTATGGACGGGTTGGGCTGCGTCAGGTGAGGATTCATGAAATGAGTCAATGGATCAAATCCCGACGTCAGCAGCTGGGAGGCGTCCGTGGGGGGGGCGGGCACGGGTGCAGGGGGAGGAGGGACAAACTGAGGTTTGGACTGAATGACTTGGGACTGAAGCTGGATCTGTGGCAGCAGCTGAGGCTGGAGCGGAGGCTGGGGGTGGGGGTGG